CCGTGCTTGTGCTCGTGGCCGTGTTTGTGATGATGATCCTCGTGATGGCTGTGCTTGTGGTCCTCGTGGTGTCCGTGGTGATGCTCCTCCTTGTGGCCGTGCTTGTGTTCGTGGCCGTGTTTGTGATGATGGTCTTGATGGTGGTCGTGTTTGTGCTCGTGTCCGTGTTTGTGATGATGATCCTCGTGGTGGGCGTGGTGATGGTCCTCGTGGTGTCCGTGTTTGTGTTCGTGGCCGTGGTGATGCTTGTGTTCCTGCTTGTGACCGTGTTTATGGTGCTCGTGGTGATCGTGTCCGTGATGATGATGGTGATTCTCGGTCTCCTTATGCGTGTGATGATGGTGATGCTCGTTAACGTGATGATGTTCGTGGTGATGGTGATGCTCGTTGTGATGATGATGCTTGTGGTGATGATGATGCTCGGCGTGGTGCTTGTGTTCCTCGTGATGCTCGTGTTTCGACTGATGATGATGTCCATGGTGGTGATGGTGTTCCCCGTGGTGCTTGTGATCGTGGCCGTGTTTGTGGTCGTGTTTGTGACCGTGTTCGTGCTTATGCTCGTGTCCGTGGTGATGCTTGTGGTCGGAGTGATGCTTGTGACCGTGGTGATGATCGTGTCCGTGATGATGATGATGATCGTCTTTATGCTTGTGTTCCTCGTGGTGCTTGTGCTCGGCGTGATGCTCGTGGCCGTGTTTGTGCTCGTGTTCGCTGTGATGCTTGTGACCGTGTTCGTGTTTGTGCTTGGCGTGATGGTCGTGATGCGCGTGATGTCCGTGATGATGTCCGTGACTGTGATAGAAGGAGTGGCCGCCGAATCCGTGACTCCTTCGTTGAGGAGCGATCTGCGGCGCCAAGAAACCGATATGAGAGGGCGATGACGATATTCTCGGCTCTATCGCGTGTTTCTCTACCGGATCATTGACTCGTGAAACGATGCTGGTCTTGGTGTCTGGGTCGAAAGTGGCTCGATGTAGCGGCGAGTGCGCCTGGCCTGTTAGGGGCAACGTTAGCGGTTGGAAATTGGCTCCAAGGTCGGCTAATTGCCGTTTTCGTGGATGTCGTTCAGCGGTGGCTGGTTGCTGGCTGGTAGAATCTAGCAGTAACGGTAGAGGTGGCTGCACTTGTCGCGGCAGCCTGACGGAATCGGGCAATTCCGGGCTGGCCGTTGATGGTCGTGGTTCACTCTCTTGCGATGCTTTTAAATTTCGGCCAGCCGTCGCTGTCACCAGCAAAGCAACGGCTAGAAGCCACGCCTAGGGGCAGAGCAAAATCGAGAAGTGAAAAAAGGGAAGGAGCCTAAATGACACAGTTATCTGGGGGAATTCCGCCTACGTTCCCTCGATCTATCTACTCGAGACACCCGGTACGAGATTCGCGGCCGCAGGTCGCGCACGGACGGGGTAACCGACTATGCGGGGGTGATCGGTAATTTTCGAAAATCGTTTAGCCACGAGCGAATTCGTTTTGATAGGCAGAGCACGGTACTAGCGCGCACCGGACATTAGCTCGGCTAACCGAAACGATAAAACAACGTCGAATTTGGCCGGGGCCATTTTGGTTGGCAGCGGCGCACGCTGCCTCGCCGCGCACGTGCGAAACGAGCACGTCCAAGCGGAAAAACCGGAGATAATATCCAGTAAATCGTCGGCGGCTCGTTTTATCGCGATTTGCCGCTTCTTGTCGCGGAATTTCTCCGCGCGGCCTCCGCCTAGAGCAAGCGGGAGCGCGAGATATATCGAATAGAGAGGAAAGCGACGTGGAAGAGGGCGGTAAAAGGCGAGGATCGAGATGGTAGCGGGGGTTCGAAATCGAATCTCGGTTTTGCGGCGCGGAATTAGCGAGGTCAGCTGTCTCGGAAGGATCAGAGGGCGTCGGCGCGTTTTTCGCGCGGCGATCGAGCGGATCTCGTCGGGGTGGCGATCGCTCCTTTGGTCTCGGTGATTTATGCGATCCGGGGGTGCGTCCGCTAAAAAATCGTCCCGTTGCGCGTTCGGCTTTATTTCTCGACGCGTGACCGGGGTCGTCGCGATGAGGAGGAATACGTCGGCCGACGCGAGGTCCGATCAGGAATTTTATTTCCAGCGATACCGACGAATTCCCGAAACCCGAACGATACGTTCC